TGTGTGTGTGTCTGTGTCTGTGTGTGTGTGTGTGACTGTGTGTGTGTGAGAGTTTTTGTGTGTGTGAGTATGTGTGTATGTGTGTATGATCATGAGTATGTGTGTATGTGTATCTGTCATCATCATCAATGCTTTTCACCCCTGGCAGGTTATAGGCCACATACAAACTCCTTCTATTTATCTCTGTCCTGGGCCATCCTTCCAAGCTCGTTCCAAATGAGCTTCATCTCTCTCCTCATGTCCCTTTCCACGCATCTCCTCCATGTTTCCCGTGGCCTACCCCTGCCTCATGCTCCCTATAGGTTCCACTGCCGGCTTTCGCTGCCTCGCGTCATAACCTCTCCATCCGGAGAAGATCCACGACCAGTCAAGCTGAGATAATGGTTTTTGCTTGTATTATGTGTTTCTGTAACTAACAGCTTCTTTTTACGAGAGAGGTTTACAGCTGGGTTATTTTCACTTTTAAGAAAATGTACATCATTTTTTTTTCTAATCGCAAGTTTATGTTTATAGAACGCTTGTTTTGAGATCTTTTAGTGCAAAAAAGTGTCACAATAAAACTAATTTCTTGTAACTAGTTTTGCCTCTAAAATGTGTCATTGATTAGCTGTGACGTAGGCCATATGCGCGTGCAAAAAGTGTGTGAGAAGCAGGAAGTGCTGTGAACAATTCCATTTTCTGAGTAACGCAGATTTGTAGTATTTTATATAAATTTATGAAGAAAATGTTTTTGGTCTAGCCTCAATTGTTGTGGAAAAATATAATAAAGTTAAAACAGATTGATACAAACCGCTGTTCAGAGTATGGGTGACATTGATTCACCCGTAAAAAAGATATTTAACGAATTTTTGACCGCATTATAATAGTAGATTACATGCGTATCTCAATGGAGACCTGAACCTTCTTGTACTTGTAGAATGCAATCATTGACTGTTTCGACTACATTTTTAACACCTGTTCATAATGGCGTATCTAGCTAGCAATTAATTCTTTGACGTTTTAATAAATTTATAAATACCTCATCTTTTTGTGCTTGAAGGGAGGAGGCCTTCATAAAAATACTACTGATTGAATTCTTGACAAGAACGTTTATTTACGAACTATCCGTTACTGTTTTGAAGTTGTCGGAGAAGATAAAAGTACATCATGAATCAGTGCATACGGAATTAGAGGGTGAGGGGAGCAAGAGAGGAGAGAGGGGGAGGAAGAGGAAGGAAAGGGAAGGGGGAAGGGGTTGGGGGCTGTTCAGAGCAAAGCTGTAAATTCTAGTGACGCCATAACTTCATATTCTATATTCCTGGGAGCAATTCAAGGACTTGGTTCCCAGTGGGTTTACACTTTACGTGGTACGGTACGCTCTTGGAGTCCTGAGATTTACTGGGCCCTATGATCTGCGGGGTTCCAAACTGGATTTTAAAAAGTGTGTGTGTGTATGCATGAGCACACGCTCTTGTGTGTGTTTGTGTGTGTGTGTGTATGTGTGTTTGTGTGTTTGTGTTTTTCAGTGTGTATATTATGTGTGTCTATGTTCTCTCTCTCTCACTCTCTCTCCCTCTCTCCCTCTTCTCTACCCCGCCCTCCCTCTGTTTCTCTCTTTCCCTCTCTATCTATCTCTGCCTCTGTCTCTCTGCCTCTCTCTCTCTCTCTCTCTCTCTCTCTCTCTCTCTCTTTAATATTTCTTCTATTTATCTTGGTCTCTGCCTTCTTCACTCGCAAAGAGCCAATGTCAAGCCAACATAAATTACAGCTTTTCTTGT